CTCTCCCCCATCCCACCGCGGGGGAGTGAGCGAGCGGCTGTGTGGCGCTTAGTTGCTGGCTGGGGTTAAACCACGACAGACTATCACAGAGAAAAAAATGCTAAATGCCCAGCTCCACTAGTAGGAAGTCCTTTCTGTATTTCTTCTACAATGACTAACCTAGATGTATCGGTGATTATTTTCCCCTGTACAAGCTGAACTCTCAGATTTGAGGATGAAAACAGAATTATTGATAAGATGTTAAAAATTTGGGAAAATTCTTTGAGAGCAAGTCCAAACTGGTTCCTCAATTTTCTTTGAGCAGACAAGACAATCTTCTGTGAATTTTTTTTCACCTCTGACCCTTCCCACCATTATTGGGGGATTATTAACTTGGATTCTCCTACAGGTCTCCAAGCATTTCTTTTTTCCATGGTGAAACAAACTCAGCGTGTTTATTGTAAGCTGAAAATCCATTAGTGTTGCTTGAATACTCAAATCCAATGCGTACATTGGATTCAAGCGGCAAGGCATGCCGCAAAGCTGTCCCTAGCAATCGCAATCCAAAGAGCAACGGGGCCGGTGAGGAAGCAGCAGTAGCGGAGTGAAGCAGCAGGAACAGGCAGCAGAGAAGCCCAACTTAAAACAGAGCTGGAAGTTTCAAAGTGACATAAACTGTACAAAGATTATACAAGTCACTGAGCGCGTCTACAAACGTAAGACTCGGCACAGAGTTCTAGCTGCGTACAAAAAAGCTGCCTGTTTCTTTGGCTGCAGAGTCCCAGGGCTCTACGCAGCACACCGGGCATGCCAACACAGAGCAGCACGCCAGGCATTTTGAGACAGACAAGCTAAGATCCAAGTAGTTTTGCAACTGGATAAAGCTGACTACAGCCTGGAAGCAGGGCAACATCAACAAATGCATACAAATGCTAATGCATCGCTGGGCAGGGCAAATATAGTACGTGTCCAGAGGTTGTGTGGTGACAGGGGGAACATTTGCTGAACCAGCAACGTTCCCCTTTGTTTAAATCTGTCCTTTCATCTTGGTGAGGGGCCAACAACACGCCTACGCTGCGATCAAAAGATTTCAGAGTTTCACAGTTCAGAGCAACAAGGAAACACACCTTCCGATTCGTCTCCTTGGGTGAAAAACATCTCCAAAGTGAAGGGGTAGCAGAAGTGTGCCACGTTATCCTGGAAAAGGAACAGGACAGAGATCAGATTCCTGGACGAGAGAATTCATCACGAGCATTGCAGGGGCACAGAGAGCAGGGAGAAAAGAACTAACGGTGGAAAAGAGGTAACGATGCCCAAACGAGATCAATCACATCACAGTAACGAACACCCGACTGCGTGATGGACCTGCATACGCTCCCAAGTGCCATGCTGATGGAACAGACTGTAAATACTAATGAAAAGGGG